ATTATTTCCTGGAGTATGGACTGATTTGATAGGTTACTACGGGGAATACTAGTGCTTTAACTATGCGGACCTTTGTTGTCAGTGTGATGTCTACTCTTCACTATTTTATCAAGATGGGTCACTGTTCTCCTCCCAAGAAGTAATTCTAATTTCCTGGCTGCAGTCTGCGTCTGCAGTAATCTTCATGCATAGAAATGCAAAGTCAGTCATTGCCTCCACATTTTCTCTATTTGCCAGTTTTCCATCAGTCTGGTTGCTATAATCTTGGCTTTTTTGTGTTTAATTGCAACCTAGCTTTTGCACTTTCATTTTTTCACCTTGGTTATAAGGCCCCTCAACTCCTCTTCGCTTTCAGCCATCAAAGTGGTATCATCTCCTGATCTGTAGTAACTCAGGTGTAGATTTAAATTGTCATATACAAGTCACCTCTGTGTTATGTATTACAGTAGATTTACCCTCTGCACAACCACATTACACCTGCATCTGATTAATAAACTCTATGGTCTTGCCTGGTAAAGGAACAAAGTAGACAAGACCACACAAGCCCACAATCTCCCACATTAGCACTACCTGCTTTGAACATCTGTCTCCCCCCAGCCCCATTTACTGCATTGCAATTTGTGCATTCATTAGAGAGAGGAGGTGGTGTAAGGGATGTGTGTCTGCAGATGATACTAGGAAACCATGTGTATATGTTGAACTGTCCCAAGAAGAAAGCTTCTTTGGAAGTTTTCTGATAGAAATCAGAAGAGACTAGCATGAAGAACATTTTTGGTATGAAGGTAGGTGGGGTGGAGGGTGAGCTGCCTGCTTTCTTATTGTGAAACACGTGGGGGTCAATAATATGTGACCTTAATCTTGGCTAGTTCAGTTGTGCAATTTTTGATGTTTGAAGGATGCATTATAATACCAGTACTACTGCTAACCTCCATGATATGTGGGGAATTTCTGTATGATATTAAGATCAGCATGTGGATTTATGAGGAAGATCAATGAACAAGCCTATTGTGAATGTGTTATTTACAAGTCTTCCCTTGAAAATCCTTCTGGGAATGTTTACCAAGCATACTTCTCTAGACTTTGGGGGGGGGGGGGTTGAAATAAGCCCATAGGGTTTATTAGCAAAATCCTTGAGTTTGCAAGATCACTAGCAAACTAATAATATGATTTATTCATTCTTCTTCATGGTCTCTGTGATTCGCATAAATGAGTCTATTTGTTCCTGTACAATGCATTGTTGTACTGGTCCATTTAGTTTTCTTGGCAAGAATATTGGGGTGGTTTACCACTGCCTTCCCCAGGGAAGTGCCTTGGACTGCGAGAAGATCCAACCAGTCCATACTTCAGGAAATAAAGCCCGACTGCTCATTGGAGGGAAGGATAGTAGAGGCAAAGATGAAGTACTTTGGCCACATCATGAGAAGAAAGGAAAGCTTAGAAAAGACAATTATGCTGGGGAAAATGGAAGGAAAAAGGAAGAGGGGCCAACCAAGGGCAAGATGGATGGATGGCATAGTTGAAGTGACTGGATTGACCTTGAAGGAACTGGGAGTGGTGACGGCCGGCAGAGAGCTCTTGCGTGGGCTGGTTCATGAGGTCACGAAGAGTCAGAAATGACTGAACGAATGAACAACAACAACACAACGCATTGTTCAGAACTTTATAAATCTGTTGTATGTAAATGTTTTGTGGGTAATTCCCCCTCCACTGGTACATGTGACCAACACAATTCCTACTTAAACCCCCAATCCCGTTTTGTTAGCCTCGACAAATGAATACTGATGAGCATATCGATTTTTTTTCTGACCTTGGCCTTGTTTTCTATCTTCTCTTGGACTACAATTTTGGCTTGGTTTTGGACTTGTGACTTAAGGTTTTGCTATGGATTATCTGACTTTGGTAATAGGCTTTTTGGCTTCATGGTTTGGTTAGTGGTGTCACTTTCAATGACATCATTGGCTTCCTTTAAAAAATGTACCTCTTGTGGAGCTCAAATCTCCAAGAAATATGGTCCCGATCTTCATATCTTTGGTTTTAAAGATCTTGCAATTGAGAAAGCTCATAACAATTTCAAAACACAGTAGAAAATCCACTTCCATAAAGCCTCTTGAAAGGATAATTTGTTCCTGCACTGTGATTGACTTGGGACTCTTCCACACAGTCATATAACACAGAATATCAAGGCAGAAAGTCCCACAATATCTGCTTTTAACTGGGTTATCTGAGTCCACACTGCCATATATTTCAGTTCAAAGCAGATAATGTGGGATTTTATTCACCTGTATGGAAGGGGCCTTGGTCTCCATTGTGGAATAGGTACTTCACATTTTTGTACACAGTTCATTTTGAGATGATATTTGCTATCCTTTTCTATAGTCCACATATATAAATACAAGTTAGCTTCTGTGCTCTCTGCTCTGTAGATTTGTGACGGGCATGGTAGGGACAGTCAGTGACGTAGCTTGGTTTCCATGGTAGTGACTTGATGTTATGTAAGGAGGCTGCATGTACACTGCTTGGTTGTCATGGTTCTAAGAATCCTGCTCAAACAGCTCTTTCCCAATCAGTGTGTTTTAACAGCATTTGAATGTACACTGGTCCTGAACAGCAGCACTTGAAATAATAAACAGGACCCTACATTCTTGTTTGTGTCATCATTGCAAGTTATACAACCTGTTCATCCTGAAGAGCTAAATCACATTTATAGTACATACTTTATTTTTAAAATTGCTGACTTACCTAGTGGAGACCTCATTTGGATCCTCTTCCTAAAATTATTTGATAGAATTTCCAATTAAGTGTCAGGTTGGCAATTTGATTCTTTCACACATTACTTTTTTTTAAAAAGATACAGCTGCAGTAGAACTCAGGGAAGATATGCTGACAGTTCATTTCCATGCATACAAAGTTGTGCAGAAACTGCGTAATGGCTGGCAACAGACATACAGCTGTGTGCATTTCCTCCAGTTCTTTCTCGTTGTGTGAAATGTGTGGTCCTTGTGAAATATTTCAACAGCTTAGTGTAGTTTCCTTAATCTTGTATTCAACCAATAGATAACTTGTTATGTTAGTGTGTTGCATCATTTAACAGTATATTTGTATATAAACAAAATTAACCAATTTATTTGGAAGTAGATGGGGTTTGATATCAGCATTTTTTAAAAAATCAGCACCCATGCAAATATAATTTCAGTAGTTTTTTAGTAAGAATTTTCATTTTGATCTGAATCCTTTTTCATTTGTAAATAAACACATGATTCTACCTGGTACTGTGTCACACCCTTAACACTCTTTTATCTGGCAGTGCCTCTCCAAGGTCTGGAGCAGACGTTCTCTTATTTGGATTCAGTTAACTGGAGGTGATCCTGCAGATTCTATTCTTGCTTAGAAATGAATCTTTAAAATTGCTTTTAATTTATGTCAGTAGATCCTCAGTTGTGAATAATTAAAACATTTATTTACATATACAGTTAGAGTAACCTGAACATTAAAATTCAGTATTATTTCCTCCTTCACAGATATATGGAGCTTGGGTGTTATTCTTTACATGTTGGTGTGTGGACAACCACCCTTTCAAGAAGCAAATGACAGTGAAACTTTGACTATGATAATGGACTGTAAATACACAGTGCCATCTCGTGTGTCTAAAGAGTGTAAAGAGTAAGTAAAATACTGTACAAATTGTTTTAAAACGAAAATTACAATGTGAACAATTCAGTAGAAAAAAGTGGTAGATGTTTAGGGTTGAGGCAACCCAAATTTAGATCTCCACTCATCCATAAGATCCACTGAGTGAAAAAGGTACTGACACTGCCTTTCAGTATGACCTACCCTGTAGAGTTGTTGTCAGTATACACAGGTTCAATAAAGGTGGATGTGTGAGTGTGTATAAATTTGTTTATTAACTCTTTAAAATTGTATTCATTAAATAATTGTTCATGTGTAACTCATTTCCTGAAAGGGGCAAATATTCTTTGGTAGCTGGAAAGCAGGAAGACTATAAACATTCTGTTTTATTAAGTTATTTTCTATATAGTTTATTGGTGAATTAAGGCAGAATGTGTGGTTTAACATCTCAATTGTGCTAAATATAAATTGTGCTGTCTGAAACGAAAGATTTAATTGGCCTCTTAATTGCAGCTTTGCATTTGCTATAATTTTATTTGCTTTTCTAAGAAACATTCAAGGCTAGCCACACCAGTTCCATTAGTCATCTGAAAAATGAATGAGCGGAAAATACTATGATTTCTATTTCTACAAAGTCTGTTTTCATCAGAACCCCTCATTACAGATTTTCATGGTGTTTCCTCTTATGATATGCCATACATTTACATTTGTTCCGATGCTAATCTTTTTATCACATATATACAAGGGGGATCAAATGGGCATTGAGGGACAAATTAAAATATTATTTATGGTAGATAAGTATATTTGTTTATTTTTTAAACAAAAAAGTTGGCATTCCCCACTCTTGAATGAATTTATGTTTTGATATAGCAGCTTAATTTTAAACTAAAGGAATAGTATTTGTTTGTTTATTTCCAGCATTTCTACCCCTTTAATTTACTACTCCTTTAATTTCTGTCAAGACATTAGGAGGGGCAGTATGGGGCAGCCTTTTATGTCAGTGAGGTACGTCAGCTAGGATGTATGGAAATGGCAGTTTTAGGAGAACATGCTATAATATAATGACGCTAATATGTTTATGGGGTGATTTTTCAATTCCTAGTTTAATTACACGAATGCTGCAAAGAGACCCAAAACGAAGAGCATCTTTAGAAGAAATTGAAAACCATCCCTGGTTACAGGGAGTTGATCCATCACCTGCAACAAAATATAACATTCCTCTAGTGTCATACAAAAACCTTTCAGAGGAAGAACACAACGGCATAATACAGCGAATGGTTCTGGGAGACATCGCAGACAGAGATACCATAGTCGAGTAAGCAACCATATTAAATTGTTTTATTATTACAGTTTTGTTACAAGTAACTCTCTCTGTGTATGTGTTTGACATCTGGAATACGGACATTTCTATTGCATGATTGCCAGAATTCTTCCTGTAAAACTTATTCTCTTTTAAAACCTTATGTCTGATTATAATCTATATTCATGAATATGTTCAATTCCCAGACAGTGAATGTGGCAGCATTGGATGCTACTTTGTCACAAGCCATCATAAAAGCCATTGACTTGCCAAATTCTTCAAAGAGTACACACAGAAGTTTTTATTATTTGTCTCCTGTTATGCCTAATGATTGAACAGGTATAACTCATGCCAAGTAGTGTGGCTCAGAGTCCATTTTAGCTGATGAGCAACTTTCTCAGTGTTAAGAATATGCATCCCTTGAACCCATTCAGCAAACTTGCCTGACATGTTAAATTGATCTCCAGAAGGAAAAAAAACAATTTCTTCTATCTGAGGTGATAGTCATGGTTACGTGACCTGTTCTTTATCCAGGTTCCTTTCTTTAGAACAGGAGTGTCAAACTCATTTTCCTCAAGGGCTACCCTCAGCCTTATGGTTGTCTTCAGGGGGCCATTGAATCCATAGATGGAGAATCCATGGACACAGAGGGCCAGCTGTAATTTTTTTAAAACATCGTATTCAGTGCTCTTTAGTTTTTACCCAGTTTGGGTCCCTAGATGTTATTGAATGACTCCCATCATTTTTTTTATTATTATTATTCTCCATGTGGACTGGGAATTGCTCTGAGATTGGGGAAGGTTAAAGAACATTTTAAAGTCAGACATCACATCCACAAGCCTTGTATCTTAAATTCAAAATTTCTTATCCTGACTAAGCGGAACAAACTGCGGCTTTCCAGATGTTATTGTATTACAATTCCCACCAGCAGGAGTCACAATGACTAATGATGAGGAATATAGGAGTTGCCCAACATTTGTACGGCCACATAAAATGTGGGCTGTGAGTTTAATACATGTGCTTTAAAGGAATGTGCTTTAAAGGAATAGACAGTGGCTGTCTCAGACAGAAAATACTGGTTCTGTCCTTTGTTTTATCCCTGTTTGGCGTTGGCCTCTATAGTTCCATGCTAGCAGTAGTGTCATCTCCTGGTGGAGGGAAGGAATGTAAAGAAAGTCTGTGTATGGAGCTTCCTGGGGCCTTCCCAAGAAGACAGTCAAGGGAGACCAGCTCCCAATAATCATGATTATAAATGGGCACTGCTACACTATGTCTGCACATTTTCAGCTTGCAAAAAATGTTGAATCTGACAGAAGAGAGAACTCTTTCCTAGATAGTTAGTCCTCTGTATTCATGGATTCAACCATCCATGGCTTGAAAATATTCCCCTCAAAATCCAAAAAGCATACCTCGGTTTTTCCATTTGATATAAGGACACCATTTTACTAATGTCACTGTATATAATAGGATAGATTTTGGTATACACAGGGACCAAACCTGAGCAAATACCAAGGGCCAACTAGAGATGCTAAAGCAAAACTGAAATTATTATTGAAGCAGAGACTTGCATGAAGTAAATTGCTGTATTCCAAGAAAATCTACTGAATGCTTTTCTTAATATAACCGTCTGATTATTGAACTTGCTACATTAGGTTGCATAATTCTCAGTAGGGTGAAAGCCATTTGTCAAGATGTCAAAAACATTAATTTCTACTTTAGGGCATTCTTTGGTATTTTTTTAGGAGCACTGTAAGTTCTCTTGGCTGTATGTCCAGTTTCAATAAACCATTGATGTATGATGTGTGTTCCATTTTAATTTTATTCCCTTCAGGGCCCTGGAAACTAACAAATACAATCACATCACTGCTACCTACTTCTTACTGGCAGAGCGGATTTTGAGAGAGAAACAGGAAAAAGAAATACAAACCAGATCAGCAAGCCCAAGCAATATCAAAGCTCAGTTTAGGTGAGTATTCCAGGTATTCGGTTTGTATTGAATGTATTGATTTGTCATTTTATTCTGATAATTTTACATCTGTGATTTTTAAACAGATTGTGAAGTGAATATAATGTTTCATTGCTTACATGTTGTTGGTATCTTCTCAGCAGTGAATCAGGATTGGTTTCAGGTCTTTTACCCATGAAAGTCTAGTGACCTCTTCTGGTATTTTGAGGCTAGAACAAGCATGGGCAAACTTCAACGCTCCAGGTATTTTGGACTTCGGCTCCCAGAAATCCCAGTCAGCTTACTGGCTGTTTGGAACGGTGGAAGTCCAAAATACCTAGAGGGCCAAAGTTTGACCATGCCTGGACTAAAGTTATATCCATGTAGCTTAGTCATGGAATTATAAGTTCATAGGTAGTGGTTCCTTATTCTTTTCCCCAGTTGTGAGCATGTTGACATTCTCAGCTTTCTTTCATTGAATCCCCAATGTTAGGGAATAGGAAAAACAACACCCAAGCTGTTTTTTCACACTGAGAAGACTACAACTATAGTAGAGAATTAATCAGCTTTTCAACTGTTCTATGAATAGAGAACACACAGAACTTGCCAACACCAAGAATAAGAAAGCTAAATAGGGTCTGTAGTTGGTGCTTAATCTTTTCTTAGATGCAACATGGAAAACTTATTTATTAATTAAAATATTTATGCCCCCTCAGATTTTGGAGTGGCGTTCAAGTTTAAAGAGGCAATACAGTATAAAGACAGGTTCATCAGCATTTTAAAGTAAATCAGTCTGGCTCCAAAGGATTTTTGTAAACAGCCTTTTTTTTTTTACTTGGCCCCCAAGAGAAGTCAGTGTTGGCAGCAGTTAGGTCTCCAAGGGGAAGGCATTTCACAGCTGGAGTGCCATAGCTGGGAAGGTGCTCTGCCATGTCCTCACATAGAATATGTATTCCACCTGGTGGGGATATTGAGCAGGGCTTTCCCAGCAGACCTCAGTGCTCTATAACAGCCATATACATGGAGAAGTATTCCTTCCAAGCATTGTATCCAGTTAAAGTACAATTGAACAAACTGTAACCTCAAAATACAATTGAGCTTTAAAAGTTATTTATATCCATTAAAATCCCTTTCCTCAACAGCCAGGTAATTGCCAACTTCTTGTTGAAGTAAAAAGGTATTTCTTTGTGGAGCACTATGAAGACCCTCTCCCATATTCCTACTAAGTATCCCTGTCAGGATCGTGGGAGTAAGAGAAGGGCCACTCGCAAAATCTGAATGTGATCCTTCAAATAGTATAGACATAAGTGATAATATAGGGCAGTGGTTCTCAGCTTGTGGGTCCCTGGTGCTTCCTTGCGGTGTTATTAAAGATGTGAACTACAAAATGAGGAAAATTACATATACAATCTTTAAGGTAGGGATGGGAAGTGTATGGCTCTCTGTCTTTGGGATTACTGCTCCCATCATCCCTCGCCTCTAGTTTTCCAAGTTAGGAAAATCTAGAAGGAAAATAGGTGTGCATGTGTTAATACTAGAAACCTTAAAACTAACAGTGGTGAATTAAGGTGCTTGATAATAAAAGTGCACATATAGAATTCTCAGAACAGTGGTTCCTCTAACTAAAATTCTGATGATGACTTTGAGATGCAAAAGGATGAGGCTGCCAAAGATATGTTAAAAAAATCAGCATCATTATGTAACGTTTTGTGAAAGAGCAGGAGACCATATGACACGATAAAGTAAATTGACTAGAAAGTACAACATGATTTTTAAAGCAAAATATTTAAAAGAAGCTGAAAGGTATAATCAGGAAGGGTTACTTCACAAAGACTAATGGCTATTTAAAGTCGGTATAATAGAGCTAAAATAAAAATGCTTACTATAGCATAGAAGCACATAGAAGTTCTAGAAGATGCTACAGTGTCTGAAATGCCCTGTCACTGAGGCTATAAAAAGCAAGCAATTTTATTTTAAGAAATTGAATTCTTGAAGAAAAGAACTGATAAACTAGATGTAATGTGGTATTTCAATTTCATGTTCGAGACTGGCTGCCTATCTTCTCAAAAAGTGAAACTGACAAGAAGACAGTGAACAGAAATAAACTATTCAGTTTTTATGTATCGTAAGCAGGAAAACAAAACCACTAGATTCCAAAAAGAAAGAGGGAATAGCACAAAACTAAAAACAATTAAATTACTGCAAACAGGGGGTTAAATTTAGGATGATAATGTCCTCATTGTTCTATATATGTAAATATTTACAGGAGCTCTCTGTTGCCTAGCCTCTCACACGTAGTGTCCTACAGTTTGGTCTTGCTCTTGTTGATGAAACAATGGCTTTCTGATATCTGATGTTTGCTTATGTCAGGTGATCTTCCTGAGAGCCAGTAAGATTACTTGCTTCTTCCCTCCTCCAGTCCCCGCTTTTTGCAGGGAAGGGGGGTCCCTTTCCCTCTAGAACATCAAAACATACTCTTTCATCGGCTCAATCTCTAGATTTTTTTTCTTTGATCAGTTTCCAGGTTAATAGTGAAGGCCACTTCCTCATGAATCATTATAATGCCCCACATGGAAAGGTTTAAGCAGTTTCCTTAAAAATTATAGGAGCTCATAGTGGCTTCAGGACTCACTCTGGATATTTTAAAAAATTAGGCTGTGAATGCATCATAGCGTTTCTTAGACAATCCATGGCGCTTCACTGATTACTTCTCTGGCTTCTTCAGCTAACAGTGTCTGTTGCTGCCTAAGTTTTGCTTCATTACTCCAGAGTAAGTGACTTTAGCTTAAAAGAAGAAGAGGGGGGGTCTTGTATTTTATGCTTTTCCATATATAGTTATGTCTTAAAACGTCTTTATAAAAATGTGGAAAAACTGGGTTTCACCAACGAAATTCATTGGTTAAAAGAAATAAGCAAGAAAGCTTTTGGAGATATTGGTATAAAAGTTCTGTCCTGCTCTTAAAATTGATATACTTGGATGTGAACATGTTCCCCTCCCCTTACATAGCATATCACAAAACGCTTTTGAACATCTCTTCACTTGATAAGAGGTCTAGCATTGGTTTGAATGATAAAATAGCTAAGCCCAAAGTGACCATGGTTCTGCAGCCTGATGGAACAATTTGTTTAGTTCTCTGGAGCTAAGCAAATGCATGGAAATATGATTCTAGGTCAATTTTTTAATGCAGTGTAATTATTTTATCTTTCAAGGTAAGAAATCCATGTTGTATTATATAACTTTTTGTTTACATTTTTTATTTGGCCTTTAGTTCACTACTTCCTAAATGTGGGCCCTGATCCCAAATGTCTTTAGCTCAATGTTGGGGTCATAAAAATTTTGGCAGCAGTAAAAATTTATGAACTCCACCCATGTACACGAATCTGTTAGCAACAACATGCAGTGTTTACAGTAGACTCTTCAGAAAATGCTTCAGCTGCACTCCACAAAAAGAAAAATAAGTCTGCAAATGCTGGTTTATTATCAGTAAACGTTTGATTTTTATGTCTGTTTTACATACCTGAAATCATGTAAACATTTCTTGGGCAAAAGGGGTTGCAAGTGGGAAAGGTTTGAGAAGTCCCGATTTAGATGCATTGAAATGGCAATTACCAGTTTCTTGTTAAGTTTTGTTTGTTCTTTTAAATTTTCTGTAGGCAATCATGGCCAACAAAAATTGATGTTCCTCAAGACCTAGATGATGACCTGACAGCTTCTCCTCTGTCCCATGGAGCAGTTCCTCAGTCTCCCGCTCGCACTGCTGAAAATGTTCTTAATGGTCACAGGAGTAAAGCACTTAATGACTCATCAAAGAAAGAAGATATTCCTGATTTAGCTGGACCAGCACTTTCTGTTGTTCCCTCAGTAAGCCTAAAACCTACAACTAGTGGTCGGAAGTGTTTGTTTAGAGTCGAAGAAGATGAGGAGGAGGATGAAGAAGATAAAAAATCAGTTTCCCTTTCAACTCAAGTTGTTTTACGACGGAAACCTTCAGTTACAAACCGTCTTACTTCCCGGAAAAGTGCTCCAGTCCTTAATCAGATCTTTGAGGAAGGGGAATCTGATGATGAGTTTGATATGGATGAGAATTTGCCACCCAAACTTAGCAGGCTAAAGATGAATATTGCATCGCCCAGCACTGTGCATAAACGTTATCATAGAAGGAAAAGCCAGGGTCGGGGATCAAGTTGCAGTAGCTCTGAGACAAGCGACGATGATTCAGAAAGTCGGAGACGCCTCGATAAAGACAGTGGCTTCACGTATTCCTGGCACAGACGGGATAGTAGTGAAGGCCCACCTGGCAATCAGGGAGATGGCAGTGGACAAGGAAAACCAAGCAATGGAAATGGAGGGGTTGACAAAAGCAGCCCCGGTGATAACAGTAAAGGGGGTGGAAGTCCTTCTGGCAGCTCTGGGGGAAGCACGAATAACAATTCAGGTTCTACCCGCAGGTGTGCTGGGTCTGGTAATTCCATGCAGTTGTCTTCAAGAAGTGCAGGTGACCTGGTTGAAAGCCTCAAATTGATGAGCCTCTGCTTGGGGTCACAGATTCACAGTAGCACGAAATATATTATTGATCCACAAAGCGCCATCTCGTTTTCCAGTGTTAAAGTGCAAGAGAAATCAACGTGGAAAATGTGTATAAGTTCCGCTGCAAATGTCAATCCAGTTTCATCTTTAGGCAGCATAAAATTCTTTTCTGACCAAATGTCAGACACTGCAAATGAATTGGAACGAATAAAAAGCAAGAACTTGAAAAATAATGTGCTACAACTACCTCTGTGTGAAAAAACAATATCTGTGAATATTCAGCGAAATCCGAAGGAGGGGCTCCTGTGTACCTCTGGTCAAACGACTTGCTGTCATGTTGTTTGACAATAATTGGACGAAACCCGTTCTACTTGATAACGTCAATCTTCCTCTTCAGAGCTGTGAATACTTTATTTCACTGAAACCCTTACAATTGTCTTAAATATTTTAAAACGGGCTTTAAGCAGTAATTTATTACATTTTCATTTAGTTTTGCTTGATATGACAATGCATGATTTTGTGCATGCTGCTAGCCAATACTCCCCCCCCCCAATCAAACCAGAATTTGTGTAACTTTTTTACATTGACAATTTTAGTATAGAAAAATCTGGATTACAGTAAGACATGTGTCCAAATATCCAGTGTAAATGAAGCACTTAATAGTTTCACATTCTGCACTTAAAGAGAGAGAGAGCTTTTGTTTCTTTGTGAAATGTACAGTCTTGTTCTGATCTTATATGTTACCTAAACTATGTGAGATGTGGCATAATTCTGTGTGTTTGCAACAGAACCAAAGCAATAATGTTTTGACCCTGAAAACTCTTTTGAGAGGTTTCAGATTTCCAAGGCTTGTACAAAGCAAAAATGCACTGAAAATTAAGAAGTCTTGAACTATGATTTTTAATCCCACGTCTTTGTCTTAAACTAATAGTATGCATGAAATGGTGGCTGAACCGAAGATCTTGCTTTGATACAGACAAGGTTTTGAAAAAAAGAAAAAAATCTTTATGGCAGCTTTTCCCCATAAAAATATTGTTCCATGCAGACAATCTTTTAAAAACAATATAATGAAGTCAGATTATGAAGTGATTTGCTCAGACTTTTTCCCAATCTGAAGGAAAATACATTCATTTTGGTGTATATCATGGCAATTGTTTGGTATGATACAAGCCACTTTAGTGGACCAATTTGTGTGGCTGTTGGAGATTTATTTGAGGAACCCAGTTCCTGTAAATTATAAATACATTAAAAGACTTAACAAAATGTGCATCTTCTAAGTCTGTTTTCCACCCTGCCCTTTAGCATTTGACAGTCTGTTTCCAATATTAACAGAAACTTTCCAGAGTGTCGACTACTTTAAGAATTCCTTTCTGAGCTAGCATTTTGACTCCTCTTTTTCATTACCACCATGTAAGCAAATGAATGGGCATTCAAAAATAGTGTCTGTTACTCTGGTGTAGTGGTTTCTTTAAAAATGCTTCAAAAGCATAACTATTTTTAATTATCAACCAGGTATTTTAACTGAAGTTATAAAGAAAAGAAGCTGTTGCTGCAATTGGAATAGAAAACAGTCTGCTTAGATAAGCAGAGAACCTAAATTGGAGTGCATTATCATTATATGATGTAACTGTACTCTATAGGTATAAAAATGTATCAAAAATAAATTAATTCAAAATTCAAGAAATTGTGTTACTATCAAACTTGGTTTGAGGTACAAAAATATCTTTTTAAATTCCCTTCCATAACTCTCTCTCCAAATGAAATCAGATAACACAAGATCAATTTCCTTTAACATTTTTGTTACTATTTGCTCTTTTCTTTTTAAACCCTTGATACCGAAAAGCCAGCAGACGGATGTGCTGGCACTTTTTCCTGTACAAAGGAATACTGTTGACCAGATGAACTAACTTTTGTGAACTTTTATCTAGAGTAAAATATATTGCAGATTCCCCATTTGGGGAATGGCTAGAATGTTATTTTTACATGCGCTGTGCACTGGGTCTTCAAAACAATGCTGGTAAGAATCAATGGTGTTATGTAGCAACAACCCAGACAGGCACTGACTGACAGAGTTTACATAGCTTAGTGCGTTAATGCTAGCGAATGGTCAAGTAGAATGCATTTCATGTACACCGTAGACTGTAGAGCACCAAAGAACTGTTACATTTGGTCATGTTTTGTTGTTCACACTGGCTTTTATTGTTGATGATGTTTTGTAAATTTAGCTAAAGATGTATTTCCTTGGACACAAGTCCCAGTAAATTTAGCAAGGCTTACTTCCAGATAGTAGGCTCGTGCAAAATATTTGAATATCTAGCCTAGTTGTGGCTTAATACCTTTCCAACTCCCAAAAGTAGCAAGGCATTAGTAAATCGTTTTATCTTTATCTTCTAAATGACTTTAGCCGTTTAGTTCAAAAACAACGTATCATGCTATGCCAATTTGATACATGCAAGTTATAAGAACATGTGTAGGCGAAGCCATGGAACATATGTGCTTGAAATTTTCTTGAGCAGGGATCTTACAAAGGGCCAGAAATATGGATAGTTCACCGAAGACAGTGAACTGTGCGTCTATATAAAAAGTAGGAGAAAGTTTATAAAGGGCATTGGCAATAAACGTTGCAGCTTTTTGTTTTCAAGTATTGTAAATATTCTTTCCATGCATTATTATGTACAGCCTTGGAATGATAACTTTTGACTAACCCAGGGTGGGTTTTTTGTTTCCTCTGTTTTTGTATACAAATCTGTGTGCGTGTGTATGCGTGTGTATATACATATATATATGTATATATATACATATGGTGCTCACTTTAGAACAGCAGTGTTGACCATTATGCTGCATAGCTGTAAAATAGCCTTATTTAGTTGTGTATGGTTGGGTGAACCTCTGGTTGTACAGATGTTAGCTTGAGTGTCGTCTTTTTATCCATTTGTTCACAGGTGAATGATTGTGCATGTGATGTATGTTGTATTACGTTGTCATGTTAAAAGGAGGGAGAGAATAACCACTACATTGAAATATATTGGACCAAACTATTATAGAGCAAGTAACAGTTTCTTGTACCCCTTAAATCTGTCTTTACAAGTTGCATATAGTACCGTAGCATATAAATTTAATATTGTGGAAAGCAACTAGTCTTGTATTTTTCTGTATTTGTATATAATGTACCTCTAGCAACGTATCTGTATTTAAGATGTGACAATCTTGACACAGATTTTACAAGTAGCAGTGCAGTTAAGCAGAACAGAGTAGAGAAGCTACACGTGTTAAGGAGGGTACAGAAATACCAGTTGATCTTTGTCGGTTGGTTCCAGAGATGTTTGGCTTTCTTCATTGTATAAACATACATGGTGTGTGACAACTGAAACAAAATCCAGTTAATAAAATGATCTCTTGATTGGTGCACAAATGACTTCCATATCAACTTTCTGTACTCTCAAATATGGCTACTCTTTCAGCACTGAAAATATCAGCTTCAATTGTAATAAGTACAAGTTACACAGTAGTGCAACCATAAGAAGAATCTATGCTTGTGAATTCTTCCCTTTCCTGCGCCCTCAAGCTCCTCAAGGTAGATTCAAAGCCTTATTTTAAAGAATGCAAATAATAATAAATGTTGGAATAGAATTGCTCAATCAACCTTCCCTTTGTATAGCCTGTGCAGCAATTCACACCAAAAGCTCCAAATGATAGGGTTTAGTATTTGTTGCGGGGTTCTGTAGAGCCTCCAAAGATGAAATTGAAAGCATGCAAACTAAATTACCAATCAAGTGAAGTTGTTAATGCAGTTGGGAAAAACCTCCACCACAGGAATAGATGGCTAAAATTAGGAACAGGACTTGTGAATCTTGGAAGTATGTAACAGCCTTTTTCAATGTCAAACAATTTAAAATGCCTGCTTCATTAGATCCAGGCAGATCAAAAATATTTTATCACATGGACAGAGAAATATAATTAATTTGACATACTGCAAAAGAACACATGAAAGCCTGTTTGTGTTTGCACTCTTTCCAGAGTACACTATCATTAATGCATTTTATACTTGTAATTTTAATGTTGGGCCTCAGTCCAAAATATCAGTACATATGGATGGAATTAATATGCACATGAGCAGGTTTTCCTCCTTTACCACAACCACCTTTCTAATCCTTCAAAGGGATTTCAAATTATTTAGTACTGCTAGTCTACATGCTGAAGGGAGATAACATATATATGTTTAGAAAAAACATCAGAGTAAGCTGTGGCTAAGTGTCCAAGAATTTGATATTAATTCTGTTTACATTTATATGCTTTGAAAATTATGATGCACCCCCTCCAACCTGAGCATGGCATATCAATGAGGAGGATTCCAATGAGCACACATGCACCCACTTAAACATTTTTAAAGACTCCGGTCTGTTGCTTACACACCATGCATTGCCAGGTCTATCCTGTTTACATATGGGGAAAATTGGAGTTTGTACCTTCAGAGATTCAGAGCGTCAAGCTTTTGTATAAATGTTTCAGTATTTTAATTCAGTCTTCATTAAAATGTCTTGATCAAAATAGTTAAATATACAAAATTCTTTTTATTATTTTGGAGAGATAACTGAATCCTGTCACTATAGTACATTTTAAAATCAATGTGTATCATACCCTATAAACATGTGTGCAAGTTTGTGGAAATGTGAATGTGAAAAATTCTACCTAATAGTTGAGAAAGCTGAGAAATAATGTGGAACAAAACACGCTCAATGAATGCTGGTGGGGAAATGCTCCTGCATTTGGGGAACATAATATAATGCCCAGTGTTGCTTTCTATAATCCTGTTTATACAGATTTTATGTATTTAAAGATACGACTAGCAATTATGCAATCTAAGGGTTCTGAAAGTAAGAAATACCTCCAAGGCCCAAGCTAGATCTTTTAGATACTACTCTGCAGAAAAAGTGCTTTTTAAAAACATTTGCTTCTGGGCGATTCAGATTTAAAGTGCCTTCTATCAGTGCTGCAGGGGGGAAAGTAAGGATTACATTTTATCACTTCTCCTGAAATCCTGATACTCCTCAGCTCCACTGTGTGTTTAAATTTAAAGATGTAATTAGAAGTAATAAGATATTTGTACCTTGTGTTCATACTAACATGAAAATGGCTCAATGGTTTTTCTATGTCAGTCATTCTACAGGAAGTTGCTTCAGATTTGAAGAAATCCGGGGGGGGGGGGGGGTCTTTGAGAGAGAAAAAACATGTAGCATTGTGCTACAATAGTTATTTGTCTTGACCTCATTAATACACACATATTTAAAAAGTGTTATTTGAAATCTTGTAGTTCACCTTCACTTGCCCAAACTACTAACCTGCATTTCCTCAAAAGTGAGGAAATGGTAAATTCAGACAACACATAATGGAGTGTGTTCTTTAGTTATAACAGATTACATGATGAAGTGGATTCGCCATCCTTCAGATACTAGTTTTTTACATTCAAGGAATAAAGTATCTGGTACCATGAAATTTTGCCTAAGATTGTCATAATAGATTTGTTCCTTTCACCTCTGCTTAGGTTTTAAACTGATCATTTATGTCAAGGATCCTCAAACTTTTAAAGCCATGGTCCCTCAGACTGTTGGAGGGACAAAGTATAGTTTGTTGTTGTGTGCCTTCAAGTCGTTTCAGAATTAGGGCGGGCCTCTGAGTGTTTTCTTGTCAAGATTTATTCGAAGAGGATTTGCCTTTGTTTTCATCTGAGGCTGTGAGAGTGTGACCTCTGCCTAAACCTCAGAGTCATAGTCTGAGGTTCAAACTACTAGACCATGCTTTCTGAATTATTTCCCCCTCTGTTTCCTTTCTACCTTTCACTATTACACTATATTATCACAATATATTACACCTCCCAAGAAAGGGGCACACCAGCAATCTCCCATGCAAGGTAAGTGATGTTCAAATATTGACAACACAGACTTTTACCATATATGGAATGAGAAATGCCAGATGTCCAAGCTGGGTTCAGGAAATGAAGAGGCACTGGGGATCATACTACCAACATACTTTGGATAATTGAGCACATTAAAGCATTTCAAAAACAATCATGCTTGTGCTTTATAGGTTATAGAAAAGTATTTAATTGTGTAGATCATGAAAAAAAACCTATGGATTGCTCTAAAAGAAATGGATATGCCACAATATTGGATTGTCCTGATGCCTAATCTATATCCAGGGCAAGAGTCAGGACAGCAACTAGAAAAATAGAATGGTTTCCATTTGGCAAGGAGATGCGAATAAGGCTCTATTTCATCATTCTGTTTAACACATATGCTGAACATATCTTATGTAAATTAGGATTAGACTCAAAGGAAAGAGGCATGAAAAGTGGAGAAAGGAAGAGCAACAATTTACAGTATACAAATGACACCATACGACGAGCAGAAAACAGCGAAGAATTGGGACTGAAGAAAGTCAAGAAAGTGCAAAGGCAGGTTTACAAGTGAACATTAAGAAAGCAAAACCAAAATAATGCTAACAAAGGATTTACATAACTTTAAAGCACATGGATAAAAACATTGAAATAGTTCAAGATTTTTCACGTTTTTGCTCAAATTAATCATAATAGAGACTGCAATCAAGAAATCTGAAGATTGGAACTTGGAAGAACTGAAAGAACTTCACAAGATCTTGAAGTGATAAAGACACACTGAATGCTAAATTTAAAACTGTCCTTGCCATTCTAATTTCTATATATGATAGTAAAGACTGAAGAGTGAAGAAAGCGGATAAGAAAATACACTTGTTTGAAATGTGTTGCTACAGAAGAGTTCTAAGGATATTGTGGACTGCTAAAAAGACAAATGAATGGGTTCTATGGTAAATGAAACCTGAACTCTCCCTTGAAGCCAAGATGACAAAACTGAGACTGCTGTACTTACGCCATGTCACGAGAAGCCACGATTCACTAGAAAAGATCATAATGCTTGGAAAGGTAGACTATTACAGATGGAAATATTCAATCAAGAAAGCCACATCCCAGAGTCTGCAATAATAGCTGATGACAGGGTGATTTGGCAGTCTCCCATTCACAGGGCTGCCATAAGTCGATGTTATCTTTGTGGCAGTCCACAACAAAGATGTAACCATCATGGGGTTTTCTTTGTGAGATTTGTTCAGAAGCTATTTGCCTGTCCCCTTAGACCTGCTCAAAATCATGAGTTTTCATGGCTGTGTGGGAATTTAAACCTAGTATCTAATGCTCAGGTCATTACACCAGACTGGCTCTCCTGATTGCTTTATCTGATTTGGGTCCATTTTAAACTGGTATTGCAAGAGATGTAGGTTTAGCAAAGAAATGAACTGCAAGAATGGAAATTGCCTTCTTATTAATGTTTAAATTACTAAACAAGTATTATAGTAAGGTGTATGCATAGACTGAAGCTCGGGCCCTCTTCTGTGCATAGGTTTTGCAGAAGAGCTACTGTGAATTCTAAACAGGTTTGCTTTATAGACTGTTAGGCTTTTATTAATGAAAATATTCAAGTTCTAAAAATGGAAGCTATCAAACAACCAGATTTACACTCTTCATAGTGATGACCTGCATCTTAAGAAATAGCATATTTTATAATGTTAAAAGACTAACATGGGGCAGCACATACCCATAAAGGATGGTTATATTTAAGCAATTTATAGTGATGCCTTTATTTAAGCATTTCTTTGTTCTGCACGTATAAGTGAACAGGACTAGAAAAAGTACTTTGCATAAATTGAAAAAAAAAGGATTCTGGGATCTGCCTCCTCACCAAAAAAAATAATACTTCCATGCTCTGCTCAGTTGCAGCTCTACAACTGAACTAAGAATTATTCTAACTTAATGTTAAGGCTTTAAACATATCCTGAACATTTTTGAGTGAAACAGGTAAAGTCACACCACTTTCAGTGACAACTCTTCATTTGAATTTTCAAGTGTCCCCAGCCCCTCTTTGCTTCTATTTTGGCAGGGTTTCATAACAGCCCTTGCTGAATGTTAATTACAGCCTGTTATTTCTGGGGCAAAAGTGTTTTTTGTTGTTGTTGTTTTGCAGGGGATGAAATGTATTCAACTATACACCAGTTTGAACATTATTTTTTCTACCTTCACATTAGTCCTATCTTAATTCTCTAAACTCTTAATCTGAATATATTCTTCAAGGTAAGATGGTGTGCACAACAGTTGATCTTGCTTTAGTGAAAGCATTTTGCCATGAAGCAGGAATTGGCCAGCAAAAACAGACTTCCTGCATGGTAAGCAACTGGTTTAAATAGTGCCTCCATAAAATAATCCCTGAGGAGCAGGCACCACAGCAGACTTGATGAGACCCAACCAGGGTTTATTACTACAAACCACTGAACCAATGCACCTGTAAACAAATAGGATGCTAACTTATTAGCACTGGGCCCCGACAACTG